AGATACCATATGATCAAGAGCCAATGATACTCAGGGAGGAAGTCCAAAGTGCACTGAAGGAATTGGCAAAGAACAAGGCACCAGGAATTGATGGAATAAAAATTGAAATCTTTCAAGAAAGTGAGGTGGCATAATGTTAATATTTCTGTTTTGTCTTTGACTTTCATAGAAGTTGAGGTAACCCATACAGACCATTGTCCCTAGATGTCCTTTTAAACCTTGAGTCTTAAAAAAAAAAAAAAAAAAATTGATGCCCCAAAGCCATTTTGAATTGAACAATGGTCTACAAGTTAGTGAAATAATTTTGTTCTAAGTATTATGTTCTTTTAAAGAATTCAGTCTGTTTAAAGAAACAGACTCCAAAAAAGAAAAATGGGCATTTAGGCATCAAATATTTTACTTAGTCTCCAAGACACTGTTATGATATTACTGTCTAGAGGTTGTGATCAAACTTCACCCCTTAAAAGTAGATCCTCAAAGTAGAACTGACCTCAGCTTGATTGAGTTATTTTGGGAAACCTAAGGTTTCCTCTGAGTCCTGGAGTGGCATTGTAGGTTAATGTGTTGGACTGCAAAGTTGTTTGAACTGCAAAATTGTCGGTTTGAGCTCACCAGCCACTCCTTGGAAACCCTATACAGGATCACTATGGGTCAGAACCAACTCAACAGCACTTAACAACAACAACAACTCTTCCTCCAGGGCTTCTGGTGTGGCACTGTAGGATCAGCACTGATCAGCAGCTCAAACCCACCAGCTGCTCCTTGGAAATCCTATCTAGAGTTGCTATGAGTAGGAATCTTCTTAATGGCACTTAACAACAACAATGGTTCTTCCACTATGGCTTTGCCCTTCGGTTATCTTACTTTGAGGTAGAGTGTAAAGCACACTTTTATGATGGTGACCTAAGAATTTCTATGAAAAGTCATGACTAGAGGGGAAGATATGTGGGGGCACTCCAAAAATATTTATTTATTTAAAACATTTTATTGTGAATTGAGTGAAAGTTTACAGACAAGACCATCAGCTTAACATTCAACAAATCACATACACTTTGTTTCATTTCAATGATTACAATCCCCTCATACAACAACAGTTATCAGGCTTCCTCCCTGGGGTTCCTATTTGCATTCCACCCACCTTCCTATCCATTCTCAAATTGGTTCTTAGGAAAACATTGCCCTTTTGATTTTGAATGATTGACCATTCCATGGTGACCATATCTTGTTAGTGTTGTTGTCCCCTATAAATCCTCATCTTTTTCTCACAAAGTGACTGGTAGATTTGAACCAATGACCTTGTGGTTAGTAGTACAATGAGTATAACTCACTATACCAGTTTTACATAAGAGGAAATAGGTTCAGAGAGGCTAGGTGTTAAACCAAGATCACACAGCCAGTGAGTGACAGAGACCAGACTCATCATATTCAAGTCTGATGATTGTTACTTAAAACAGAAAACTCCATTTGAATTTTAAATGGTTTAATTAGGAAAAAAAAATCAATTTATTTTCAACATACTAGGCATATTTATTGCTATACGGTTCTTTGTGAGAATCTTATATACTACTCCTCACTTGTCAGCTACCTTGTTATCTGACGTTTTGCATTTACAACAATAGCGCGAAAACAAACATCTACTAGGACCAATGCACAGGTGTACACCAATTTGCACATTAACGATACAGATCAGGTGGTAATGAATGCTGGGGTTCAAGGTGAGAGTGAAGCTGGGTGTGATGGTTCAGGTGACAACTTGGCTGGGTGATGATTCTCAGTTGTTTGGCATTTTTCAATGATGTAATTGCACAGTTATTTAATGATCCAATCATCCCCCATTTTGTGCTCTGATGTGGTCATTCTTCATTTCCATAATGCCAGTTTTTTCATAATTACCTAGTCTTTGGAACTTAACTATGTCAACTAATTGTAAGATACATTTATTTATCCATTTTTCAGTTTGTTGTTGTTAAGTGCCACTGAGTCGGTTCTGACTCAGCAACCCTGTATACTGTATAGGATTTCCAAGGAGCAGCTAGTGAGCTTGAACCACCAACTCTGCAGTCCAGCACATTAACCTACAACACCATACCAGTTATGGAATATTTATTCTGCACCTATTGTGTGTCTCTAGACTCCTGGTGTGACGCTGTAGGATTAGCACTGGTCTGTGAACCACAAGGTTGGCAGTTCAAACCCACCAGCTGCTCCTCGGAAACTCTATACAGGGTCACTGTGAGTTAGAACTGACTCGATGGCACTTAACAACAACCACTGTGTATCTCTGGTTGGTGCAATGGTTAAGCTCCAACCTACTCACCAAAACTCTAGCATTTTCAGCCCACTGAGCGGCACCTTGGAAGAAAATCCTCATGATCTGAAAGGTCACACCATAAAAACTTTCTGGCATGCAGCTGTACTCTGACATACATGAGTGTGATTGTTAAAAGGTGATGCATCAACTTGCCTTGCCCAGGACTCTGTTGTTTGGCAGTTAAAATGCGGTCATTCTCCATGATGTTGTTGTTGTTGAGTGCCCTTGAGTTGGTTCGACCCATAGCGACCCTGTACAGGGTTTCCGAGACTGTAAATCTTTACGGGAGTAGAAAGCTTTATCTTTCTCCTGGGAGTGGCTGGGAGTTTCGAACTACTGACCTTAAGGTTCGCAGACCGATTCGAAACCACTACGCTACCAGAACTCCTTATTCTCCAGGTTGTTGTTGTTGTTATGTGCCGTGGAGTCGGTTCCGACTCATAAAGACCCTGTACAGGGTTTCCGAGGCTGTAAATCTTTACGGGAGCAGAAAGCCTCATTTTTCTCCCGTGGAACAGCTGGTAGTTTCCAGCTGCTGACCCTGAGGTTAGCAGCCCGATTCGTAATCACTACGCTACCAGAGCTCCTTCATTCTCCATGTTAGAACTAATGAAATATAATCACCTCCATAATAAGATCTGCTATGAGTAGCCAATCAACTGAAAGGCAGTTCCCTCAGAGTGGTGGCCTTCTTACAAATGATGCATATACTCGGATAAAGCTTGCTTGCTTTTTGCTGGGTCTGAATCCTGCATCTGGCTAGTCATCTGAGCTCTGCTTTTTTGGACTTGAGTCACAGGTCGGTTGTTGTTGTTAAGTGCCATCGAGTCGGTTCCGACCCATAGCGACCCAGTATAGGGTTTCCGAGGCGCAGCTGGTGAGCTTGAACCGCCGACCTTGCAGTTCAAACGGCTCTGCAGTCTGGAGCATTACCCTCAGAGCCACAACCGGACTCCCTGCTAATACTGGTAATCAGCAGCAGCCTGCCATTTTACCTGATAACCTTGGATTAATTTGCCTCTGCGGAACATTTACAGGGTGGCTGTGAGTCAGAACCGACTGCACTGCACACAACCAAGACTACCATGAGTCGGAACTGACTCAATAGCACTTAACAGAAAAGGTACTGGTAAGGTCCCCTGGTGGGGCAATGGTCAAGCACTACATATTAAGTGAAAGGTCAGGGGTCAGACCCACCAGAGGCTCAGCCCTGGAATCTGCTCCTGCTGCCATCGACTGGACTGCCTACAACAGAATACTGACTGAAGGGAAAAAATGGGAGGTGGGGAGCAAGAAGTTCAAAATCAGCGCATGGAGTAAGACAATTTATAGTTGTTTGATGACATTACCGTAAGAATCATATTTGGAAGTGTAAATGGGTGAAGAATTGCTGGAAAACCTCCATCGGAGATCCTGACGGCCCTTAGCGTAGTTTTCTGCAGTTCCACTCTCTGAAACGTGGTGGTGCCGTGGAGTTCAACTCATAGCAAGCCTGCATAGGGTTTCCCAGGCTGTAAATCTTTACGGGAGCCAAAAGCCTCACCTGTCTTCCGCGGACGGCTGGTAGTTTCAAACTGCTTGAGGTCAGCATTCCGACTCGTAGCCATTACACTACCAGAACTCTTAAAAACTAGTGGCACGATTTCTTGCCTCTCTATAGCGCTTCGCTGTACACTACGATTTCTAAAGCGGAGAAAACGCGCACCTACCCATCGCGCATGCGTGAAGCGGTTCTTTCTCACAAAGACCGCGGGAGAGATCGGCGCACGCGTTCTGTATCTCTCTGAAGATAATGTCATCATCGCGCCTTCGGGCTACAGGAGGACAGTGGTACGCATGCGCGGTGACGATGCGCAGGACTTATGTCACGCTGCGGGCGGCGGTGACGTGAAACCAGAGTAGGAGGTGGTCAAGGAACGGAAGCCGGGCGGAAACTAGGGCGGAAGGGAACCTGAGCTGGGTTGGGGCTGTGTTTGGAGCCTTGGCGGGGCTAGGGTTCCAATGTGGTCCCCGGAGCGGGAGGCTGAAGCCCCGACCGGGGGAGACCCGGCGGGCTTACTGCCCCCGGAATGGGAAGAGGATGAGGAGCGCATGTCCTTCTTGTTCTCTGCCTTCAAAAGGAGTCGCGAGGTGAACAGCACCGATTGGGACAGCAAGATGGGCTTCTGGGCGCCGTTGGTGCTGAGCCACAGCCGCCGCCAGGGGGTGGTGCGTCTGCGTCTGCGAGACTTACAGGAGGCCTTTCAGCGCAAGGGCAGCGTCCCGCTGGGGCTGGCTACGGTGCTGCAGGACCTGCTGCGGTGAGGGGCGGGCCGGGATCGGGCTTGGGCCGAGGGGACTGGGGCCGGGAGCGCTCCCTGAGGGCAGAGAAAGGATCTTGTTCGCTGACAACACACCCTGCCCAGCCAAGGGTTTGGCACAGAGCAGGCGATCAATGTTCAATAGATAAAGAAGGAGGAAAAAAGAAGGAACCGGGTTAGGTGTGCTTGTGGAGAGAGAAAAGGGGCATGGGGGAAGATGGGTGTGAGTGTGTTCGCGCTGGGATCGTCTAGTTAGGTGGGATCCCGATGATGGCAGAAGCTAGTCTGGCACAAGTCACAAAGATATGTCTGGCTTGGAGACCTGTCATGTCGTTTTTTTTAGGGGTCTTCAAATTTGAATTATTCTTGTAACAGAGGACTGAGGTGGGATTTCTTAAAATAGGATTTTCAGAGCTAAGAAGACAATTATGGGGAAGAAACCTGTAGGCATCTTGCCAGCGCCTCGTCTATACTGGCTTGTCTTTGGCACAAGTTATTTGGAGCAGAGAACCATGAGGCGGGTGGGGGCTTTGCTGAGTATCTTGGTGCCCTGGCAATGTGCTGTAGGTGATCCGTGTGCAACAGGTGTTTGGGAGCTTTCCTGAGGAGGTAGCATCAGTAGCTAACAGAGATACAGCACTTAGGTGTGTAGATCTTTGCATACACTGTTTCATCTGATCCTCTCAGCTGTTTTCTGGATGAGGTGATAGTGTTATCCTCAACAGACAGAGGAGGAAACTGACCTTCAGAGAGATTGAGTGACTGACAGTGAGTACCCACTGGGCTACACAAGTAATTAGAGGTAATGGTAAGATTCAACCCATAGGCTTCTGTTTTTTATATCATAATCATACTCAGGCAGCCTAGCATGGGGTCTGGCTTAGTGAATGAAGGCGCAAGTCAAACTTTAATGTTGGTTATTGTTTGTAACTTACTGCTCTTTTGGATTAAGAGTGCTTCCTTTTCTTCCCTCCTAGGCTAAGCACTGGACTGCTAACCTCAAGGTCGGCAGTTCAAACCCACCAGTCACTGTTGGAAACCCTATACAGGGTCGCTATGAGTCGGACTTGACTCTGTGGCACACAGCAGCAACAACCTTCCCATTGATTAAGGAGCCCTAGTGGCGCAGTGACTAAGCCCTTGACTGCTAACCCATAGGTTGGTGGTTCAAATTCAACAGCCACACCATGGAAGAAAGATGTGGCAGTCTTCTTTCTTAAAGGCTACGGCCTTGAGACCTGAGGCAGTTCTCTGTTCTATAAGATTGTTATGAGTTAAAATCAACTTGATGGTAATGGGTCTGAGATGGTTAGTTTTTTTTAACCCATTTGTTGGTATGGCGTGACAGGCCTTTTCCTGAAATCTCTCTTTTGTAAGAAAACATTCTGTGGAGAAAGTTTTAGTTCATGCTTGAAGTGGGGAGCAGGGGAGATAGTGGCTGAAGAAGTTAGTGAGAGTCTGGGCGTCCTTGTTGTAGTAGGACAGTTACTTCCTATACATCTGATCCCACGCATTGTCCTCTCCTAACTGCTTACACTCACTGAAGCTTCCTGGTGCTTGACTGTCTTTGACACTTGAAGAGTCATTGAGGGAGCTGTTTCTCCATGGAAGCAGCACAGCGTCGGGGACCAAACAGCCTGGGCTTGAAGCCGGGCTCTGCCGCTTGTTAAATGATGTAACTGTGGAAAAATTATGTGACCTCTTTAAGCCTCAATCTAAACAATTGTAAAAGGCAGTGATAATTGTACCAAGGTTTATTGTGAAAATTTAGATGAGGTATTTCTTAGATAGGCCCTAGCATAGTCCCTTGGTAAGTATTCAGTAAACTCGGCTGCTGTTATTTACAATACCATGACATATTTACTTCTCATGATCACCGTAATATAGGAATAGCAGAAAACCCCTTTCTCTGTACATCCTTGCATTCTTCCCAATGTCTTATACTTGGAAGCCAATTCATTATTGTTATTTTCATTTTATTATGTTTATCTCCATTTGCCAAAGGACATATCAACATAGGTCCAGTACCTTCCTTTGCCTCTCTCATATTACTAAAGCCAGACAGACTGGTTTAGATTTGGCTTTCTTTCCTTGGCAAATCAGTTCTCAGTCTCTCAGTTTTCTCATTAACTAAAATGCCAGTCACACCATTTATCTTGCAAACTTGTTGTGATCTGCAGTATAAACAGTGCTGCACATAGTAGTGGTGCATAGTAGATGCCTACTTGCTTCCGCAGCACATATACTAATATTGAAACAATACAGAGAAGATTACCATGGGCCCTGCGCAAGGATGGCATGCAAATTCACAAAGGGTTCCATAGTTTTTTGGTGTGGTGCTGTGGGTTAATGCGCTGGACTGCAAAGTTGGTTTGAACTGCAAGGTCAGTGGTTCAAGCTCACCAGCTGCTGCTCAGAAACCCTATACAGGGTGTCTATGGGTCGGAACTGACTTGACAGCACTTAACAACAACAAATGGCGATGATAAGGAGCCCTGGTGGCACAGTGGTTAAGTGCCTGGCTGTTAACCAAAAGTCAGCATTTGAGATCCACTAGTGGCTCCATAGGAATCCTGTGTGTTGCTGTGGGTTAATGCACCAGACTGCAAAGCTGTTTGAACAGCAAGGTCAGCAGTTCAAGCTCACCAGCTGCTCCTCAGAAACTCTATACAGGGTCGCTATGGGTCAGAACTGACTCTGTGGCACTTAACCACAACAATAGTGGCTCCACAGGAAAAAGGATCTGGTAGTCTGCTCCTGTAAAGATTACAGGCAAGAAAACCCATGGGACAGTTCTATTCTGTTATATCAAGTCGTTCTGGGTTGGAATGAGGGGCTACTTTGGGGTGTAGGATGAAATATTGCATTCAACACTACTGACACACCCTCTCTCTCTTTTCCTGCAGTCGAGGGGAGCTACAGCGTGAGTCAGACTTCATGGCCAGTGTAGACAGCAGTTGGATCTCCTGGGGAGTTGGAGTCTTCCTGCTGAAGCCCCTCAAGTGGACTCTTTCTAATATGCTGGGGGATAATAAGGTTCCTGCCGAGGAGGTACTTGTGGCTTTGGAGCTGCTTAAGGTGGGTACGTAGGAGGAAGAGGTCTGGGTGTCATCTAGTGTGATGATAGGCTCCTCTACACTCCTTATTTGTCTTCTGAAAGAATGCATCTCTTTTCCATGGTGACAACTCATAACTCAGTTTCCCTGAAATTCATGGTGGTGGTTATGTGCCGTGGAGTCGGTTCCGACTCATAGCGACCCTGTACAGGGTTTCCAAGGCTGTAAATCTTTACGGGAGCAGAAAGCTGTAAATCTTTCTCCCGCAGAACACCTGGTAGTTTCGAACTGCTGACCTTGTGGTTCATAGCCTGATTCGTAACCACTACACTATATAGACCTCCTCTATACTGTACTTTGAGCATTGTGTGTTTGTTAGTTGGACTTCTACCTTTCAACTGTAATCCTTTGTCTAGGAATTGTAAGAACCTACAGTTAAGTATTTTCTAGTATTTATAGAAATTAGTATTAAGCTAAAGTTTAGAAAATGTTTTGCCTTTTGTAGTTAACTCACAAGAATTACTCAGGATTTCTGAGGACATTGGGTGTTGCCGTCCCCTGAATCAGAAAACTAGGTGCCGATTTCCAACTCTGACTAAACCTTTGTCCTCTTGCTGACAGCGTGCCTTCCATAGCCACTCACTTCCCCCTAGTTCCTCTGTCTGTAGGTGCGCACAAGGACCTTGATCCCTGGTCAGGTTTATGCCTTCTGTCCCTCCTAGCTTGTTTTCCCTCACTCTTTATAATTTTGAATGGCCCATAAAGTATGTTAAAATTTTTGGCCAAAAAAAAAAAGTTCCCCACCCCTAATCTAGAGCAAAGGGAAAATCAGATTCATTTACCCCTGAAAGATGGGTAACCATCTTTGGCTCACCATCTTTTGAAAGCAAATGCTGGGATAGGAAAGTAGAGGGTTTCAAGGAATTGTATAAATCTTCCAATAATATTTGGGAGTTCTTGTTGTTGTTAGGTGCCATTGAGTCAGTACCGACCCTTAGTGACCTTATGCACAGCAGAACAAAACACTGCCTGATCCTGGGCCAACCTCACTACTGTTGCCACGCTTGACTCCATCAATGCTGCCACTTGGCCAGTCCATCTCTCTGGGGGTCTTCCTCTTTTTCTCTGACCTTCCACCTTACCAAACATGATATCCTTCTCCAGCGACTGGTCCCTCTTGGCAATATGTCCAAAGTATGAGAGACAAAGTTTGGCCGTCTTCGCCTCCAAAACAGATTTATTGGTTCTTTTGGCAGTCCATGGCATTCTCAATATTCTCCTCCAACACCATGACTCAAAAGCATCAATTCTTCTATGGTCTTCCTATTCACTGTCCAGCTTTCTCATGCGTATGAGGTTACTGAAAACACCATGGCTTGGGTCAGGCACACCTCAGTCCTCAAGCTGACATCTTTGCTTTTCAACACTTTAAAAAGATCTTGTGCAGCAGATTTTCCTAATACAATATGTCATCTGATTTCTTGACTGCTGCTTCCTTGAGTGTTGATAGTTGATCCAAGAAGAATGAAGTCCTTGACAACTTCAGTCTTTTCTCCATTGATAAGAATGTTGTTTATTGGTCCAGTGGTGAGGATTTTTGTTTTCTTGACATTGAGGTGTAATCCATACCGAAGGCTGTGGACTTTGATCTTCATCTGTAAATGTTTTAAGTCCTTTTCACTTTCAGCAAGCAAGAGTGTATCATCTGCATATCGCAGGTTGTTAATGAGTCTTCCTCCAATCCTGATGCCACGTTTTTCTTCATATAACCCAACTTCTCAGATTATTTGCTCAGTGTACAGGTTGAGTAAGTATGGTGTAAGAATACAACCTTGTTGCACACCTTTCTTAATTTTAAAGCATTCGGTGTTCCCATGTTCTGTTCGAACAGCTGCCTCTTGGTCCAGGTACAGATTCCTCATAAGCACAATTAAGTGTTCCGGAATACTCATACTTAGCGATGTTGTTCATAGCTTGTCATGAGCCACACTATCAAAAGCCTTTGTATAGTCAATAAAGCACAGGTAAACATCTTTCTGATATTCTCTGCTGTGCATCCTAAATCCATTGGACATCAGCAATGATATCTCTTGTTCCACGGCCTCTGCTGAATCCAGCTTGAACCTCTGGAAGTTCTCTGTCAATGTATAATTGTAGCCATTTCTGTATTACCTTTAGCAAAATTTTACTCATATGGGATATCAAAGAGATTGTCTGATGGTTTATGCATTTTGTTGGGTCACCTCTCTTTGGAATGGGCACAAATATGGATCTCTTCCAATCAGTCGGTCAGATAGTTGTCTTCCAAATTTCTTGGCAGAGATGAGTGAGTGCCTCCTGGGATGCCTCACTTTCTTGAAAGATTTCAATTTTTATTCCATCAATTCTTTGTCAATTCTTTATTAATTCCTCCAATGCATCTTGGACTTCCTCCTTCAGTATCATTGGCTCTTGAACATATGCTACCTCTTCAAATGGTTGAACATTAACCATTTCCTTTTGGTACAGTGACTCTGTATTCCTTCCATCTTCTCTTGATGCTTTCTGCATCATTCAATAATTTGCCCAGAGAATCTTCCAATAATGAAAGTCGACTAGTTTAGTCTAACTCTATGTAGGTAGAAAAATACTTCTAGCCCTGCTGGGACATATTATGGTTGGTGTTAGTTGTAGTCGAATCAATTCTGACTCATTGCCATCCCATGTGTTACAGAATAGGACGACTCCACAGAGTTTTCTTGCCTATAATCTAAACAGAAGTACATCTCCAGGCCTGTCTTTTGCAGAATGCATGTTGTTAACCGCAGTCGAGTTGGTTCCAACTCATAGCAACCCTGTATAGGTTTCCAACGAGCAGCTGGTGTTTTGTACTGCTGACCTTGAGGTTATCAGTCTGGTGCTTATCCTGCAGTGCCACCACTCAGGATTCCAGTATAGAATGCATAGTGCTGTTAAATATATATATCCAGTTTACATCATGAAACAGAATGCCTTTGGTAAAATCGGTTTTCAAATACATGATGACTTCACTGTTTGCTCCTGGGCTGGGGTCTTGCTTATCTTTGTGAAACTAAAGGGTCCTCTCTAGAGATTTTCACAAGAAGAAAGTCTGCTTTAGCCATAAATTGAAAATGGCCAGTAACATTTTACTTTGAAAAAATACTGGAAAATAAGAAAACTTAAAAATTTTGCTATTTAAAACAATTATACAAAGGAATGAAAGTTTCTATTGATTGCATTTCCCCTTGTTCAAACGCATTAGGTTTTTTTAAAAAGGTTTTTATTGTGGATTGAGTGAAAGTTTACAGGGCACATCATCAGTTTTACATTCAACAAATCACAGCTTGTTTCATTACAATGATTCTAATCCCCTCCAAGTACCATCATCAGGTAACAGTATTTCTCTCTGTTCACTTTAGCTCTTTTAAACACTCAGGCATATATAATAACTTACACCACCAAAAGACACATTCTGCAAGTCTGCCTTCTGGCTACCTTAGTCCCTCTTAGTCCCTCTCTTCCTATGAATCTAGAGTCCTCAGCTGCTCTCTCTCTCCATGTCCCCATCTCTGCCTCCATCTCTGATATCACTGCTTCTCTGGATAAGGTCTCACATTCTGCTTGTGCTCTTCTCCCTTACTGGTCCTAGGGTCCTTTGTTTCTGGACTGTAAGATTAACTACTCCCCTGTTTTTGTTACAAAACTTCTACGTTTACAATTATGACAGTTGCAATTAGTCATGATAACAATTACTAATGATTCATAAGAATCTTATCCCCATATCTTTTTTTTTTTTAACTTAAAAAAAACCAACAACTTTTAATTGTGAATTGTGCATAAAGGTTTAAAGAGCGGATCATTCGTTTTACATTCAGCAATTCATACACATTTTGTTTCATCTCATTAATTGTAATCCCTTCAATGTAACATCCCACTTTCTCCCAGTGTTTCCTATTGTCATTCCTCCACCCTTTCTAACTGTTTTGAAAGTTGTCTTTTGGTAAATGCTACCTTTTGGATCTTGGAAATAAAGTAGAAAAGTAAGAATAAAAGGTTTGTTAAAAATCTTAATTTAAAGTCAGGGATGGGCAACTTAGACATTGGCTACCCAAAGTGGTGGGGCTACCAAGGCAAGAAGTGACTGGCTTACAAGCTTTCAAGAGGGAACCTAGATCCAGAGGGCACGGAGGAAGGTAGAGAATCTCCACTGAGTAGAATCTCCAATCTGTCTAAGTGAGGCTGATGAAAGAAAATACGGTTAGTCTCTTGTATACAATAGTGAATAATTGTTATCAGGATTGATTGTGAGGGTTGGAAATGTAAAGGTAGACATTTTGTAGCGAGGAGGGGAGTGATTGACTTTGCAGTCTAGGAGTGGAGGTCCCTGGGACCATCAAGGGAGAAGAGTGGAGAGTGGGACCCTACCCAGAGAAGTAGTGACACCAGAGATGGAGGCAGAGACGATGATGTGGCGTGATGGAGCAGCTGGGGACTTTAGGACCCAGAGAAGGAGAGAGGCTGTTTGCTGACAACCAGGGGGCAGGCTTGCAGGGTATCCTTTGGTTGGTTGATGATGCATGGAGGGGATTGTAACCATGGAAATGAAACGATATATGATAGGATGAAAGTAAAACTAATGTTTTCCCATGTAAACTATCACATAATTCACAATAAAACATTAAAAAAGAAACTTAATTAAAAAAAATATATCGATAGTGAAAAGGAGAACTGAACAAGTGTTGGATGGAGTCATCAGGAGATAGGTTTTTAGGTTTATTCCCCCACGATTATGGGAATTATTAGGGAAGTGAACAGGGTACAATTCAGGAGCAGAAACAACTTAGGATGTAGCAATTCTCCAGCCAGGAATACTTCTGCTATACTGCAGGCAGGCCTCGCTCTTATCTTTGGCCTGTCAGGCATGAGGCCTCTCAGCCTCTGCCCTGCTCAGGCAATATCCACATATCTTTTAACCAGACCCATGTAAACAAGATGAAACCTATTCAGTGAGGACTTTTTCTT